AGAACGTTTTCCCACATTCTTTACACTCATAGGGTTTCTCTCCTGAGTGAATTCTTTGGTGTTCCTTGAAGTCTTTTAGCCATAGAAAAGATTTCCCACATTCTTGACACTCATAGGGTTTCTCTCCTGTGTGAATTCTCTGGTGTTTCTTGAGGTCTGACTGCCGTGTGAAAGATTTCCCACATTCTGTACACTCATAGGGTTTCTCTCCTGAGTGAATTCTCTGGTGTTCCTTTAAGACTGATGGCCGTAGAAAAGATTTCCCACATTCTTGACACTCGTAGGGTTTCTCTCCTGTGTGAATCCTCTGGTGTCTCCTGAGGTGCGACCGCTGGCAGAAAGTTTTTTTACAGTCTTTACACTCATAGGGTCTCTTTCCACTATGTGTAACCTGATGTTTCCTAAGATTTACTTGCTTAAAGAATATTTTCCTACTTTCTTGACACTCATAGGGTTTCTCTCCTTTGTGAATTCTCTCTCGTGCCTTCTTGGATGACTGCATCAAGAAAAACTTCCCACATTCTTTACACCCACAGGATTTCTCTGTTGTGTGCATTCTCCAGTGGTTCTTGAATGCTGACTGAGAGCAGAAAGTTTCCCTACATTCAGTACACTCATAGGGTCTCTCTCCTGTGTGAAATCTCTTATGTGCCTGCAGGGTTGATGGGCACAAGAACGACTTCCCACATTCTTTATACCCAAAGTGTTTCTCTCCACTGTGAGTGCTCTGGATTAGCTTTAGGCCTGGCTTCTGGAAGAAAGTTTCCCTACATTCCTTATATTCATAGGGCTCTGTTTTTGTGTGAATTGTCCGGTGTGTAGAGAAGTGTGAGTTCTGCTGCACAAATGTCCTACCTTCTTTATGCTCACAGTGTTTCAGAGCTGTGTGGATTTTCTCATGTCCCTTAAGTGTTGACTAACAGGATAACAATTTCAGACTCTTTTTGCAACCATAGGTTTTTCCCTAGCAACAGGTCTATGAAGTTTACTGAGGGGAGTATTGTCACAGGTCTTCCAACATTCACAAGGCTGCTCACCTGTATGGATTTTATAAACTTTAGTGAGAGCAGATTTTATAATTATCAGATACTCATATTCAAATTTTTCTCTCCTGTGCTCCTGACAGTGAATAGCCTGTAATCTTTGGCTCAAATATGCCACTTACATTACATTTATGCTGTGTACATTCAACATATCTATGCAAAATCCATTTTTCTGGATTCTCAAAAAATACCGTCTCCCTCTGGGACATCTGTAGTGAGATTCCCTATAGAGTCCTCGCATTGGCTGTGGACGCAGACAGTTCCCAGGCTTTCCCTGACCCATCGCATATGTAGGGAGTCTCTAGAGTAACAAGGGGACACCGGGTCGCGGGGAGCCGTTGCTGACTACAGGTCCGTGGGCCCCACTGATGGGCTCACCCCTTCCCGCCCTCCCTGCCCGACAGGCACTGACCGACCTGAGAAACTCTGCTTCGGGGGGGCTCTCGGCAGTCCTTGGTGGTGCTGCGGCTTCCAATGTGATGTTCAACTCAGGTTTCATAACACAGAGTCCTGATGATCAGGAACAATGAAGGACTTTGATCAAACTGGCAAGGGGTCATGGCCTTTGGAGAATGACCACAGGGGCCTTCCTGGTGGTGCATGGGCTGAAGTGCATAGGCATAAAGCTATCCAAACCACTAAAACTTGAGTTTGATGCCCGACCAGGGAGCAAAACCACATGGCACCGCAGACCACTCCTGTCTCATTGACTGCACTCCTCAACAGCTTGTTTCAGTAAACACGCCTGTCCTGGTGCTCACTCGGTCTCAGGTGGACGCTTTCACCCCCAAAACACTACCACTGGCTTGTACCACAGCTCTTGTTTGCTAAAAATAAAATAAACAAGCACTGGTACTCCTTGGTGGTGTAACGGATTAGGATGCAGCAATGAAAGCTGTCCAGAGCCCTCCAGTGCGGGGTCAGTGCCCAGCTCCAGAGGTGACCCACAGAGCGCTGCAGGTTATCTCCTGACACTCCCACTGCTCCCTTCAGCAGTGTAATTCATCAGTCTGGCTGTTCTTCTCCCCACGGTGTCTGTGGTGAATCCTCTCACCCGCCCTGCACCTCTGCCTGTACCCAGTTCTCTATGCATGAATAAATAGAGCTTAGTGCTGTGCTTTAACCTGCTGCACCACCAGGGGGGGCCCAATAAATAAATCTTAAAAAGAAAACAACAAACAAGTATTAAAAATGAGAACTGCACATGGCCGTCAGAGGGAAGCATCACTCACCCAGGGACAGCAGGTTCCCATAGGTCTCCATCATCACATCCCGGTACAGGGTCCTCTGAGCGTCGCCCAGGTCCTGCCACTCCTCCCAGGTGAAGTTCACAGCCACGTCCTCCGGTGACACCATCCCTGCAAGGGCAGGGCTCTGGTTCACAAGTGTGCAGCCTGGGAGTTCACTGAGTGTTTCATCTTGTAAGGGCTGAACCGAGCCTTGAACTCTACACTGGGTGGTAGAGAGAGCGCAGGGATGCAGCCTACCTGTGTACGTTTGGGTATGCACAGAGGGAGCGGTGGGTGAGCAAGGGGAGCGGTGGGTGAGCAAGGGGAGGCCCGCGTGCCCTGTGCAGATCACCTACATGACCAAAGCCTATCTGTCTGCTACCGCTGTCGCTGAGGCCTCTCCCGCATGGCTCCTCTCCCTGACTTGCCGCAGAACCCACTGGCCACAGTGCCTGGACCCAGCTTGACAGCACTGAGACCTTTTTTTTAAAAAAAAAAAAAAAACACTTCTTTCTTTATGCTTATAGAAATGGGCTATAAGCCAGAGGTATGGTAAGTGAGAGGATTCGGCAGAGACAGAGTGGGGAGCCGAACAGGCAGACCTACTGAAATACACTGCTGAGGAGAGCAGCGAGCGGGTCAGGAGAGGTCTGCCACGCCATGCGGGTCACTCCCTGGCTGGGGATCGAACTCGTGACGCAGTGGCTGCGGAGAGCTTCACAGTGCTGAGCTTTAGCCTACTGGGCCGACAGGGAGAGGCCAGCACTGAGACGCAGTGCTCGCACACTGCTAAGCTTTGTTCCTGGTGGGTGCGTGTCTCGCTGTCCCTTAGGGCTGATTCCACACGTGAATGAAATGAAGAAGCAGGTGTCCGCCTGCACCGCCCCGTCCTGTGCGATCCCTGCTATCTCAAAAGTCGGGATTTCATTTTTCACAGCTCGGTACTGTTGCACGGCAGATCTACAAAACTTCATGTGTGGAGGTAGTCAGCCTAGGTTGCCCCGTTAGTTATATGTCCCCATCCCACACCAACCCCCACTCTCGCTTCTTCTACTTTGGCTGTCCCACAGCTCTGAAGAGGGAGGGTGACCCCTCATAACCCGTCTTTGCCTTAGGGGCTGTTCAACATATTTCTCTCAAAAACATTAAAGGCTCGCACACACGCGCACACACACACACACACACACCTTAAACACGTAACCTGCCTATCTGCAGCCAGTCACCGGCCTCTTCATTCAACTAGTCCCCCACTATCCAAACCACAAAACCGGAAAGAGGCAGCTGGAGCAGCACCTGCCCACCCCCACCAGCGGTGACCGCTGGACTAACTGCAGACTCAGTCTCCTGAAAGTCAGACCCTGACGTCACTGCAGAGTCCCCAGTGGCGCAGCAGGACGCTGCAGAGACCCGCCAGCCCGCCAGCCCCCCGGTGGAGGCCTCTGCGCAGGAAGCGCCTCTGCTGACAGCACCGCTGTCCTCATGCTCCTCATGCCCGGGCAGGAACTCTGCGAGTCCGCGGCGCTCACCACGTGCAAGCGGCGGCTGCCAGCTACGAGCAGGGCACCGAAGCCACCGTGCTCGCACCACGTCTGCATTTTGGCTCCTCCAGACGGAGAGGAGAAAGCTGAAGGGAGGCGCCGAGAAACAAACACCTGCCAGGAGGAGGTGGGGGAGGAGGGAGCCCCACGGCCACTGCCCAGCGCCCCCACGGGCCTGAGGCCCAGCGGGGCCCAGACCGCTGCAGGGAGCAAGAGAGCACAGCCTGAGGGCAAAGGCGCCGAGCGGCCCCTGGGGAAGCTGCGGCCGCCGCACAGTCTCCAAGGGCAGCAGCCACAGGCCTCGGCCGGGACTGGCCCTCTCAGAGAGGCGGCCCCTCCCCGACAACGAAGATGCCCCGGGCG